ATGTCTTCGTTACTCTTCTTTTCTTTGAATATTAATATTATTATTATTATTATTATTATTATTATTTTAAATCTAATTTTATAACTTTATATTTTTAAGGTGAGCGTATAATGCTTCGGCGACCTGCCGCTTTAATTATATTATAACTTATATTTAACCTTTTATGAGAATAAAGATATCTTAAAATAACGCATCGCGGAAATGGAGAGAATACTGCACAATGATACTGCTCATGACCCAAAAGACGGTTGTTTTCTGTAGTTGGAAGACCACTTAAAGGTTCATTGTACGAAAGCAAATTTGTTGTTTTGTTAATCTTTATCAAAGCACTTTTCTTAAGACTAAGATACCATGCACTCCATCCGGCGTGCGTTCGAGTATCTCATAATTTGCAGTGATCTGTTCAATCCGAGCTTCGCCGTATATGCGATGCGCGTTAAATAGCAACCAGCCCTCCGGAGTGCCAAACTTGACTGGTATACCCAGATAAAACAAAGCACCAGGCTTCAGCATGCACCATATTTGAGCTGCTGCTTCCAGGTCACCGTGTGGATTGATGGGGTCTCCATAGCGACCAAGGCCAGAGTGTTCCAAAGAGGAAAAGGAAGCAGCAAAATCCATTTGGAGCGATTGGCCCTTGGTGATTCTATCCGCTAAATCTGACATAAACTCAAAAGACAGCTGTGGGTGGTCGAAGAAAACAGGGTTGTAATCAACAGTTGTCACGTGTTTTACACCAAGATTTAATAAAATGACTTCAACCCAAGGACTTTTACTTCCAATAACCATTCCTGACTTGCCTTTCAGTTGATCTTGGTATTTGGAGAGGACCTTCTTGTAGACAGCGCCCCGTAGGCCATATTTGCCAATGATTTTCACTTTATCATCAGCTAGGAGTTCTTTGATTCGGTCCGATTTGAACTCTACTGTTCGACCCTTGCGTGTGCCATCTATGTACTTAGGACTCAACACCAAACTGCCATTCTGAGTGAAATCCAGAAGTAGCTCTGGAGGCGGCTCTTTCAGGGGCGGTTTGAAAACTTTCCCGGGCGGGTTCTTTAATCTGAGAAATATATTCTTACAGTTAAAGTCTTTTCTTAGAAAGAGGTCTTCTTTTTTCTTATGCATGGAGAAATTGCAAACTTGGCCGCAGGGTGGGAAGGAATGGACGCTTTCTGTATCAGCTCTTATGTAACCCATCTTGTTCCCTGCTAAAAAAAACAGTAACAAAGTTACAGTGTGTATCATATGTTCTATGCTGTGAAGAATTAATGCGCACTTTGATACTCGATGCATATTCTTCGATTTACCTATATCTCTTAACTTAATTATTTTATTAACATTTTCTTTTCACTCTAATACATCAAAAAGAACATCATTAAAACCTTGTATGAATTTCATTGTGTTCTGACGGCAGTGCATATGAACATGTAAGTTGATGATTAATATGAGAATGTTCCGCGACTTGTTTACTTCATTAACATGAGACAAATCCAATTTGTTACAAAAAAATATTTGATGTAGGCTACCTTTGGTCAATTGAACATCATTGCTTTTGCTGTTTTGCGGTACCTAAAGGAAATAGAAAGGCAAAAGTGTCCCATCCGTACTATGTTAGTTCAATGTTTCCAGCATAATTACACATGCCATACAAATAAACGAGCAGTTCACCTGTAAATTACCATATATATACGCTGAAACTTTAGTTGTTCTGATATATATATACGGTCACATAACATCTCTAGATTGGTATATTTGAAGAACAACAATCAAACCAAATCATGCATTTTATCGTCTTTTTTATATCATTTCTGTACTTCTTTAATTCTACGGTTATGTAATGACACCTCTTTATTGCTTCGTGCGTCCCTTCGAAAAATGTAAAGCTTTAAAAACCTGATTTAATCTTGAAACCAAAGCAAAAGTTCTAATGAAATATAGCATTAAGATATATCATTCGAAAAGTCAAAGAAGGAAATATAACTTCATGTTTTCAGCATTATAAACAAAGTAGGCCTACCTGCTGTTTCTCCACTGACGCCGTGCATTTTTGCTTCAAATCGTAGTTCACAATCAGCAGTAGTGTGATTACACTGATTGTTAGGATTGTAAACAGGTTTCTTCCTAATGTTCGTCCCATGTTCAAATGTTGGTCTGCTGCAAATAGCCTACAAATTTAAAGCAAATGAATACATAAATGAACAGGTAGCAAGCATCCATATACAAACATATTCCTGAATTCGGTTTCCTACGATAAATGGATCATTGTTCACGAAAATATGGTCAATTTATGGTTCAAGATTCCTCCAGAATTCACCTGAATAAAGAAAAATGACCTGAGATAGGGCCTGACACAAGTTCTGTACGTGCACACACACACACACACACGTGGGATTGACAACCCTACCGGGCCTCATCAGGGTTTATTTGGCTATGGATGTGATTATGAATTGTCACTTTTTTCCTGTCCACTCCTTTACAATGTCAAACCAGCTTTTGGGTTGTCGTCCACGTTTTCGTCCTCCGACGGCACCTTGCGTGATGGTTTTGCATCACTTCGAGTGACATTCCCAAACCAGTCTGTTTCTCAGAGTTTGCAACTCTGCATTGCTGTCTGCCTTGAGATCTATGTTACCTGCAGAGCGGAGATTGCACACTGGTCTGCTACCAATAGAAATGGAACTGTGGTGGTTATGTCAAGTGTGGTCTGCATGGTCCTTTCAAAAAAGATAATAAAAGGATCAGAGAGAGTGTGCAGCCCTGCCTGACACCGATGGTAGTCTGAAAAACAATCCCCCAGATTGCTGTTCCGGAGCACTGCACTGCTTGAGTTTTCGTACAGAGCCTGGGTGACTTGGAAATAAATACGTTCTGGATACCTTGGGCTTGGCCTCTGTGTAGGTACACCAGTCTGGACATACTTCTTGGACACAACGATCTGTTTTGGCAATGCCTGTCTGTATGTTGTCATTCTGGCGCTGAGCAACAATTAATACTGTAGCACGCGTTGCCGACTTTTTGACTAAACTATGTTCGGCCATAGCCATACTTGAACCAGCCCAAAAAGTACTACCCAAAGAAATCATCACGCATTACGAAATGCAGCAGTACTTCAGAATTTAACAGTCAGTTAATTGTTACTGTCACACCCGACTACATATTTGTCTATTCTCATAATTTACATGAAATACACGTTTAAGAAATTAACCAAACATTTTATCCCTACACATACCTTTGAAACTAAAATGGTCAACTCTGTAGTTATTCCGTGTGCGTATTATTTTGAGTGCCTTCCTTGTCTTAACATGTTAGAAAATTAATCTCAGCATTGACCTACCCCCTGTACCACCTTCTGTTCACATCCCCTACCACCTGTTAAAACCCTACCTGCACATATCATACTGTCATTAACTTAAAACGATAACAGTTGAGATATATTTGCTTAAAACCTTACCTAAGCTTGTCAGATTGTTACAGCAACTCCGCGTCGCTTCGATTGATTTCGGTTACATCATCGAAATAATTAAACGTAATATGAACCATCTGTATAATAAGCACCTTACAATAAATTGTTTATTTATCTAATGCTCCAACTGGTGAAAATGCACGTATGAATATAAATTATATAAGAATGTGACATTAAATCACGATAGAAAACATTCAATTACAACATGTGTTAATAAAGTTGATGGCGCCTGGTTTAAGTTCAGAGAAGCCATTTTGTACTAGAGGTATTTTGTATAAATGTGGCCAGTGTAATGATAGTGGACACCCTTTTACATGTCATAAGCTTACTAATTTTTTGTTTGCTGCAGGAAGTGTCAAACCTTCGCTAACTATCCACATTTACTGGCACTGCCTCCTTAAATACACTTAGAATAGTTTACCTTCATTTTTTCAGGCATATTCATTTGTTGTGATAAAGTGGCATTCTATTCTCCTAATTTATCACCTAAACTGAAGAAACCTTAGAACAATCGACATTTAAAGCGGTTGCTGGTGCGGATATCGCATGTGTGGAAGTGGTTTTCTAAATCATAGTCAATTGTTTAAATACAACAATAAATAAATAAATGAGGAAATATTGATATCAAAAACACAAAGAGAGCCTTTTCACACTTTTCTTTATTTCACATCATCTTTAATATAGAGAATCACTGGAAGATCACCTCCAAAAGAACCTGAGTTCAAATTTCGCAAAAGATTATACCCGAGTTAGATCCTCTATTCCAATTCTTATTTAACTGTAATGATCTTATATATATATATATATATATATATATATATATATATATATATATATATATATAGTGATGATACTCAAACAACCACGTAAGTTGGTTAAGCAAACAATCCCTGCAAACACCATGCCATTCCTAAAAACTGAAATTCATTTGCAATTTAAACGGATAAAGAGGAATGCTGCAGGTGTAACTAAAGACCTCTGCTAAAATAGGGTCACGGTACAGCTAACACAACTGTTCCCAGTGAAAGTACATGAGTATGAGTAGAGGAAGGTTGCCTAACTTTTCGGTATATTACGTGTACAGCATGCAAGACCCCCATTTCGATGGACACATTACAAAATATATGACAGAAAGATTAAAGAGCAAAAAAATAAGGAACTGTAGATAATTGGTTCTATGTTATATTGGTTAGTTAAAATCGTATTGATAACTGAGAGTTGATGCAAAAGAAAAAAATATATGCATATTTTGCAAAATAAAAATCGTTTGGATAAAACACAGTCATTAAAATGTGGGCTACAGGTAAATTGAGAAGCGCTTGAGTCAGGACTTTTATATTTTCATAATAAATCAATGTCAGTGAAAGACCTAAAGTTTTTATGAACTTACTTCATCGAAAATTTATTTTGTAAGTAACAAACCTGTAGAGAAAGCCTATAAGTCAAAATACCGGTGGAGATATCCGTATTCATACCCTTTATTCAAATTAAGAACATGGATCCCCTCAAATATGCTTTTCCACAATGATTTCAAAAAAATTTAAAAAAATGCCACATATAAAAGGAAAGACAAAGAATGTCTTTTAATTTATAGAATCAGCATCAGAATGCGATCTGTAAAGTCACGTATTTCTTGTAATTTTGTTCATCTTTATTAAAGCACTTTTCTTAAGACAAAGACACCATGCAATCTACCAAACGGCGTGCGTTCGAGTATCTCATAATTTGCAGTGATCTGTTCAATCCGAGCTTCTCCATATATACGATGCGCATTAAATACCAACCAGCCCTCCGGAGTGCCAAAGTTGACTGGTATTCCTAGATAAAACAAAGCACCAGGCTTAAGCATGCACCATATTTGAGCTGCTGCCTCCAGGTCACCGTGTGGATTGATGGGGTCTCCATAGCGACCAAGGCCAGAGTGTTCCAAAGAGGAAAACGAAGCAGCAAAATCCATTAGGAGCGATTGGTTTTTGGTGATTTTATCGGCTATATCTGACATAAACTCGAAAGACAGCTGTGGGTGGTCGAAGAAAACAGGGTTGTAATCAACAGTTGTCACGTGTTTTACACCAAGGTTTAATAAAATGACTTCAACCCAAGGACTTATACTTCCAATAACCATTCCCGACTTGCCTTTCAGCTGACCTTGGTATTTGGAGAGAACCTGCTTGTAGCCAACGCCCTGTAGGTCATATTTGGCGATGTTTTTCACTTTATCATCGGCCAGGAGAGTTTTTATTTCTTCCAATTTACGATGCACCTTTCGACCCTTACGTGTGCCATCTAAGTACTTAGGACTCAACAACAAACTGCCATTCTGTGTGAAATCCAGAAGTAGCTCTGGAGGCGGCTCTTTCAGGGGCGGTATGTAAACTTTCCCGGGCGGATTCTTTAATCTGAGAAATATATTCTTACAGTTGAAGTCTTTTCTAAGAAAGAGGTCTTCTTTTTTCTTATGCATGGAGAAATTGCAAACTTGGCCGCAGGGTGGGAAGGAATGGACGCTTTCTGTATCAGCTGTTATGTAACCCATCTTGTTCCCTGAAACATTAACGAAGTAACTGAATGTTTATGATATGTTCTATGCTTTGAAGAATTAATATGTATTTTGGTACTTAAGGGATATTATTCAAGGGATATTATTCGATTTACCGATATCTCTTAATTATTTTATTGTCATTTTCTTTGCAATCTAATACATCAAAATGAACATTGATAAAACCTTGTATGAATTCCATTGTGTTCTGACGGCAGTGTAAGTTGATTCTTTAATATGAGAATGTTCCGCGACTTGTTTACTTCATTAACATGAGGCAAATTTATACTCATTGAAATCCAGTTTGTTAAAAGTATTTGATATAGGCTACCTTTGGTCGCTTGAACAACATTGCTTTTGCTGTATTGCGGTACCTAAAGGAAATAGAAAGGCGAAATTATCCCATCCGTACTATTTTAGTTCGATCTTGTGACATTTAACTATTCAGATCTATTACGTGTTGGAATATAAACTCAAAGTTGGAAATAACCGCCCGTCCCAACGTCCTTGACGGTCTAATTTCATGGAGGACGGGTAAAATTAATTTGGAGACCGTCCTGTGGTCGGGCCGCACTTTGAAGTCGTCAGTAGATCTNCTGCCACTATATATATCCCAAATGGGTCTCTGCTTGGGTCTTGATAACAGCATAAAGAACATGTTAATTGGTCAAGTAATTTGCAGGGGAACTGCCAGTTGTTTTTTATAGCAATTGTAACTAGAGGATCAGAGAGGCGATACCGCCTCCAGTTTTTGTACCACCAGCTGGAGTATGGAAAACCACCACCAGTCTTGTGCTTGACTAGCTCTGTAAAATGCAATCAACAAGAGTTCTCAAAATATGGAAAAAATTTAACTAAAAATGGTACAATCAAGCAGATTTTCAAATTGACCTGTATTTTTCTAACATTGATCACTCCTGTGATTCTCTATACAATAGGCCTATTGGTTTTCCTTGAAATGTGTTGTCAGTGTTGCATATATGCTGACAAAAGAAAAAACCTAGGGGAAACACTGGGCATATCTCTGCTAGTTTTGAAGATATGAAGGGCAAGAATATATGCAAAGCTCAGTTCATGGTGAAAAAATAGGTCAAAGGTTAATTCCAATGTCACAGTATATGACTTCCTATTCAAGTTCAATAGTAACCCTGGGCATTTCTTTGCCAATTTTGGAGATTTTAGGGCCAGAAAACATGTAAAAAAGCAGTTCATGATAAAAAGTAGGTCACAGTAAAATAACCTCTAATGACTTCCTATTCAAATTCAAAAGTAACTTTGGGTATATCTTTGCCAATTTTGAAAGTATAAACATTAAAAAAGTCACAAAGTTCAGTTTATGGTAAAAAGTAGGTCAAAAGACAATTTTAAGGTCACAGTTAGATTGCCAGTATATGACTTCCTATTCAAGTTTAATAGTAACTATGGGCGTATCTTTGCCAGTTTTGGAGATATAAGGGACCAAAAAAAGTTGCAAAGTTCAGTTCACAATGAAAAGTAGGTCAAAGGTCAATTTAAAGGTCACACTTAGATTGCCAGTATACCTGTATAACTTCCTATACAAGTTTAAAAGTAACTATAAAATTATTGCAATGGGAGGTGCCCAGAAGTTCCAGATGTTCAAATTTCATGAAATAATGTCATTTTTGACCAGAAGTTGTCTGCCTTGCCAAGCCTTCTGTTTTATTTTCCAGAGGTCTAAAATGTATTATAACTGTATTGCACATTTTGCTTTCACCACCACAATGTACTTTTAGATACAGCATAACTCGAAAACTGTATGGAAATAAAATAAAACGGAGACCACTTCTAGTGTTGGGCTTGACATGCTCTACAAAATGCAAAAAAAGAAAAGTCTCTAGCATTAACGGTTCCCCGATTTAGGGACAGTTTTCAGTTTCGGTATCTTATGGCCGCTACTCCCGTGAAAATGCACCGATTTACCCCAAACTCACAAAGATGAAAGATGACCTAAAGGGTAACATCTGACAATAATATTATAGGTTAGGTCAGTGTAGTTTCTGAATATTAGCGCAAATAGTTTTCTTTTCGTAAAAAAATCATTTTTTGAAAATTTTGGCCCTTTTGACCTTGAAATAAAGGTCAAAGGTCAAAAGGGCATATTTGAAATCTCCACATATGACTTTCGGTCAGCCGTCTATAGAAATTGTTCCCATAATTCCTTCGGTATGGTAGATAATACGCATTTAATTTTGCCAATTTTGGACAAGGGTGCATTGCAATGAGCGCCACACCTAGACCCCAGCACCAACGAAGCCCAAATTTTACGTGGAGCGAGTTGAGATTATAGGTGACCTAAATCCAACAGATGGGTATGCAGGCCCTTGTAGTCTAGGAGGAGTACCTGAGCGTCAGAGCAACGTAAAAGCTAGCTTGCTAAATATACCTTGTGGTGGAGTCGCTTTTACTAACTCTGAAGACCAGCGGCCATGAAAGTTTTCCATCAATCAAATAGAACTGCTCCGCAGTGAAAATGCAGTTGAATGTCATCAGACCAAAATAAAACGTAAAACAAATTTAATTCTGCTTTATTTAATTTTATTTGCTGTATTTAAGATGTAAAGTGAAAAAATAAATAATATTCTTCGAAAAGAAAAGATATATCCAATGTTTTTGTATTTTTTGCTTATCAAAGAACATTTAGTCCTGAGATATACACGTGCACAATACATGTGCTTGCCGTGTGCCAAATTTGACAGCTACACTGTATGCCCGATACCACTATAAGGGCTGCGCAATGGCTACACGAAAATAAGTTTTTACAGCAGAATGTTGCTTGTATTGTGGCACTGACCTTCGACTGCAAGATATTTTCATTTCAAACATCTAACTCCGCGTCAGGCACTTTAATTGCTTCTTGTCTCGCCTGCACGAGACTTCAGCGCAAGGCGGGAAAGGCAGCTCCAGGCGGCCAAACCTGTGACGTACGAGACTTATGACTTCCAAATATGGATCCAGGCGGACACAGCTGTGACGTGTGACTTCCAAATATGGAAGCGCCCCAGGCAGAATTTTGAAGAAGAACGCCCCCGAGTTGCCACCGTTCGCTAGAGTCTGGTATTGCTACTATGGGTTATATATGAAATCAAGATCGAGCTGGCAATACCGGAATCTAGAAACTAGGGTAAGGAGGAGAAGCGGTAACGGTAACATGGCGGCAGAGCCGGCGGAACGGACCGGACGGGACTAAAACCATGTGTACTGCCAGCGCCAACGCTGGTGGTACAGCTAAAACCCATCTGCATGAAATCTTGAGAGAAACTGACTTTTCTGATATTTATACTGAAATACTGACAGAACAAACATAACAACCTTTATCAAAAAAAAAAAAAAAAAATTAAACAAAGTGAAGAACAAGGTAAACTACCCTATCTCCTACGTTCTCTTACCTTGTAGTCATCCATGATCTTGCGGACCTGACGTCCCTTCTGTTCTATGATCCGAGAATGCAAGCGATGATCCAGGTTGACTTCTTCGGTTATCATGTTGTCCTATAAATAGGTAAACAAACAAACAAATAAATAAATGAATAATATCTTAACTAGAGGGTCAGAGAGGCGATACTGCCTCCGGATATTGTACCACCAGCTGGAGTAAGCGCATTCGAATGGAAAACCCCCCAAAAAAGGGACACCACCACTAGTCTTGTGCTTGACAAGCTCTATAAAATGCAATCAAAAAAATTATCAAAATATGTAAAAAAATATAATTAAATAATACAATCAAGCAGATTTTCGAATTGATCTGTATTTTCCTTACACTGATCACTCCTGTGATTCTCTAGACAATAGACCTATTGGTTTTCCTTGAAATGTGTTGTCAGTGTTGCATATATGCTGACAAAAGAAAAAACCTAGAGGCAACACTGGGTTGCTAGTTTCGAAGATATGAGGGTCAAGAAAATATGCAAAGCTCAGTTCATGGTGAAAATTAGGTCACAGGTCAATTTCAATGTCACAGTATACGACTTCCTATTCAAGTTCAATAGTGACCCTGGGCATTTCTTTGCCAATTTTGGAGATTTAAAGGTCAGAAAACATGCAAAAAAGAGTTTATCATCAAAAGTAGTTCAAAGGTCAATTTCAAGGCCACAGTTAGATAGCCAGTGTAGGACTTCCTATTCAAGTTCAACAGCAACTTTGGGTGTATCTCTGCCAGCTTTTGAGATATCAGGGATATTTGCAAAGATAAGTTCATGGTGAAAATTAAGGCAAAGGTTAATTTCAGGGTCACAGTAAGATTACCAGTATATGACTTCCTATTCATGTTCAATAGTAACTATGGGTGTATCTTTACCAGTTTTTGAGATATAAAGATCAGAAAATTTGCAAAGTGCAGTTTATGAGGAAAAGTAGGTCAAAAGCCAATTTTAAGGTCACAGTTAAAATGCCAGTATATGATCTCCTATTTAACTTTAATAGTAACTATGGGTGTATCTCTGCCAGGTTAGGGATATAAGGGATAGAAAATTTGCAAAGATCAGTTTATGGTGAAAATAAGGTCAAATGTTAATTTTAGGGTCACAGTTAGATTGCCAGTATATGACTTACTATTAATGTTCAGTAGTAACTGTGGGTGTATCTTTGCCAGTTTTTGAGAAATAAAGATCAGAAAATTTGCAAAGTGCAACGGTAACATGGCGGCGGAGCCCGCGTTACGATCCGGACGGGACTAAAACCATGTGTACCGCCAGCGCCTACTCTGGGGGTACAATTAAATAAGGTTTGTCATAGAATGTTTAATCAAAGGTGTAGCCGGGAATACTAGCAATGTTTCATTTGAATAAATTTTATGAAAACTTATTCATTTTTCCAAGACTAAAATGGTCATTTAAATAACCAAAAAAAGTGGATTTTATGTTGTGTACAATGCAAAGACCCAATTTGGATGTGGTCTTAGCCACTAAGGAAGTGGACTATCGCTACGGCCACATAACATCTCCAGGTTGGTAAATGTGAAGAACAACAATCAAACCAAATCATGCATTTCACCGTCTATTTATCTCATTTCTCCACTTCTTTAATTCTGTGGTTATGTACTAACATCTCTTAATGGCTTCGTGCGTCCTTTTGAATAATGTAAAGCTCGAAACACGTGTCAATCTTGAAACCAAAGCAAACGTTCTAATGAAATATAGCACTTAGATATATCATTCGAATGGTTAAAGGAGGGAATAGAACTTTATGTTGTCAGCATTATTAACAAAGTAGGCCTACCAGCTGTTTCTCCACTGACGCCCTGTATTTTTGCTTCAAATCGTAGTTCACAATCAGCAGTAGTATGATTACATTGATTGTGAAGAGTGTAAACAGGTTTCTTCTTAATGTCCGTCCCATGTTCAAATGTTGGTCTGCTGTAAATAACATATAAATTAAAAACAAATTAATACATAAATGAACAGGCAACAAGCATCCATATACAAACGTATTCCTGAATTCGATACGATAAATGGATCGTTGTTCAAGAAAAGTTGGCCAATTGTGGTTCAAGATTCCTCCATAAATCCACCTGAATAAAGAAAAATGACCTGAGATAGGGCCTGACACCACAAGAACTGTGCGTTTACACACACACACGCACGTGGGATTTTCAACCCTACCGGGCCTCTTCAGGGTTTATTTGGCTATGGATGTGATTATGAATTGTCACTTTATTCCCGTCCATTCCTTTACAATGTCGAACCACCTTGCATGCTGGTTTTCCATAGGATGGCATCGAGTGACATTCCCAAACCAGTCTGTTTCTCAAAGTTTGCTACCCTGCATTGCTGTCTGCCCCTGGGTCCATGTCTACGTCAGTCAATTGTTACTGGCACACCTGACTATATATTTGTCTATTCTCGTGATTTACATGAAATACACGTTTTAGAAATCATACATTTTACCGAGACATACCTTTGAAACTAAAATGGTCAAGTCTGTAGTTATCCCGTGTGCGTATTATTTTGAGTGCCTTCCCTGTCTTTACATGTTAAAAAAGTCACATTGTTAAGACCCACCTGCCCCCAGTACCAGCTCGGGTAATTACCCCCCCCCCCCGCCCCATCCCTTGTTAAAACCCTACCTGCACATATCATACTCTCATTAACTTAAAACGATAACATTTGAAATACCATTTCTCAAAACCTTACCTAAGCTTGTCAGATTGTAAAAGCAAATCCACGTCGAGTCAACTGATTTGAGTTACATCATCAAATAACAAGCACCTTCATATACAATACAATATTTATTTATCTTGCCAATTGGTGAAAATGCACGTATGAATATAAATTATATAAGAGTTTGACATTAAATCACGATACAAAACGTTCAATTACAATATGTATTAATAATGTTGATTACACATGGTTTAAGTTCAGGTTAGAGAAGCCAATTTTATCAAGGTATTTGGTATGAATGTGATCAGTGCGATGATAGCTAGTGGACACCCTTCTACATGTGAATGTCATAAGCTTACTCATTTCTTCTTTGTTGCAGGAAGTATAAAACCTTTGCAAACTATCCACATTTACTGGCACTGCCTCCTTAAATACACTTAAAAGAGTTTACCTTATTTTTTTTCACGCATATTCAGTTGTTGTGATAAAGTGGCATTCTATTCTCCTAATGTATTACCTAAACTGAAGAAACCTTAGAACAATCGACATTTAAAGTGGTTGTTGGTGCGGATATCGCATGAATGGAAGTGGTTTTCTAAACCATAGTCAATTGTTTGTATACAACAATAAATAAATAAATAAGGAAATATTGATATCAAAAACACAAAGAGAGCCTTTTCACACTATTCTTTATTTCATTTCTTCTTTAATATAGGGAATCACTGGAAGATCACCTTCAAAAGAACCTGAGTTCAACTTTCGCAAAAGATTCTACCCGAGTTAGATCCTCCATTCCAATTGTTCTTTAACTGTAATGATCTTATATATATATATATATATATATATATATATATATATATATATATATATATATATATATATTTATTTATTCTCCATTAGAAGCGGCCGGGGTAGTCTCAATTGAGGTACATATCGCTATTTATATCAGGGGTCTTCACTGCCTGACCCCATTGTGTGCTTAATTCATTCTTTTAGCGCGCACGATACGAGTAAACAGAAAGTTTTCTCCAGCCTTCAACTTAAACGTTCAGTTCAACAAATTTCGTCGTTTTTTTTTTCTTTAATGAGAATTTTTCAGTTATTCATCCAATCTGTTGAAACGTTACAACACGTTAACAACATTTTACAACAGTGAAACATTTTGTTCAACTTCAAACGGGTTATCAGTGTCATGTACATGCATATTGTAATAAGAGTAAAAAAAGTCAAGTTGATCGAGATAAACAATATAAAATTATCGATAAACACATGGCGAGATAATTAAAATAATATAGTCTGTAAACGTATGGACCATCATATAGCGTATCATAAAAGCAGGGACGTTGTAGTTGCAATTAAATTGTATAAGGCAACAGAAGCTGTAGTTGTCACAGAAGAGCTGTAGCCAAATAATTCTCGCTCTTGTGCTACATTGTGTGATCAACAGTAAGCGAATTAATGAATTAATTGAAGTCTACTAGCCTCTTCTTCTTGGATTCTGTGGTGAATAGTTCTGTAAAGAGTATTATAGGCAGTCGCAGAATTTAATATTTTATCCAGTAATCGTCGTATTAAAGCGTATGCTAATTTGTAAACAAAAGCGTAATATATACCATGAAAATGCTTGTTCTCAAATAAAAGAGCTAATCATTGTGGAAATCCCGTATAAATGCACGGTCCAGTTTGTGGCCATGCATTCTTTACATTTTTTTTAATATGATAGTTCGTATCAGGCTCAGCTGATCCACAGATACAAACACATGGTACAAAAACAGTATATATGCATCATGTTAGGGTTGTCGCGCTTAAGACACCACTTCAAGTGTCGGTGGGGCATTCTCACTTGAATTCTTGTTGATGCTCCTCTCTCTCCTGAAATGAATATATCCGTTTTAAACATCAATGTTAAATTATTCTGCTGCTTAAGTCTACTTACCAGACTGTATGAGAAGTAGCTATGGCACTTTGAATATTGAGCGAAATTATCCTATTATATGTACAGTTTTGTTTTGAAGTCTCTATAAAGTGAATGTGTGGTCGTATACATGCGTGCGAGCGTGTATGTATGAGTATATGAGAGAGAGAGAGAGAGAGAGAGAGAGAGAGAGAGAGTAACAAGGGGTTATCGATACAAACCGTTATACTCCAAAGTTCTCGGCATCCTCCAAAGTCTCCGGTAGGTGTTTATGGGCTGTTTCGGGAAGATACAGACCGCTCAATGAAGAAACCAATGTCATAGAGCCAAACAGCATCATTGGCATAGTGTTACCGAGGTAAGGGTGTTCCATAAGCTGGTCCTACCAAGAGTTCAAGGTTTCAATTAACGCTAGTATAAGATGATCGGTTTCAATGTAGGCAACATTCAACATAGGAATTGTATCAAACCAAATACTACAATGCAAAACGAGTGACTATAACAGAAAACAGATGGCGACAGGTGCTTCTCCATTAATAATAGAACTGCTATACTTTTATTTAAAAAAAAACTGTTTTTGCAAGTTTAACAATATCTGATTTTGTTCATTTACAATAAATAGATAAATAAAATAAAATGTTACTTGGTTAACTTGCAATACGACCAAAATACCCGTTGCCATAAGCCCTTAATGGGACATTACTATTGAAAAGATTAACAAATTGGGGTGGGGGTTTGCCGGGTCGAGACAGTGTTAAAGGGGAGAAAATTTATGAAGACACTGCCTGTTCGTGGTTGAAAAAGTTATCTGTGATTTAGCTTTGGTGTGTCAGGGTCACTGAATCATAAAAACGTCTAGCGTTTCTAACATAAACCGTTATAACTGTGAAACAGCTCACACTGCATGGGGTTTCTGTAGGATAAAACTGGAAAAGTAACAAGTAATAAACATCATACCATCACAATCGGGGAAACCACAGCCCCTAGACTACCAAATGCATATCCTATACCAAGCCCGAAGTTTCGCAAGGCTGTTGGATAGAACTCTCCATTCCACATGAAAAGAAGGGTGTAGCAACAACTAACGCCAAGTTTTCCAATTGTGTACAAAGCTGTAAAGGTGGCACTGGTAGCTGAACTCTCTGGAACGCAAGTGGCAAAGTTAACACTTGCATTCATGCACACAAATGTTGTTACTTTTGGTATATGTCAATTACCGCCTATTGTGTATTGAAAAACTGCCTAATCGTGTAGACAAAGTTACATGTACCACATTTTAATTAAACTGGGCTGTGACGTGCAACAAATTAACAATGAGTTACACTGTAAATACAGTTAAATGACAGGTTTGGCATGGCTGAAGCAGTACAAAAAGCAGGTGTCAGAGACAATTAACATTAATGTTGTAACAAGAGATAAATGACCAATTAATCGATATGGGCTGAAATATTACAAATGCATTAAAAACAATATTGAATTCAGATAGAAATTAGTAAAATAGACATGTAATATTGCAAGAATTAACCAAGTGGAACAGGAAAAAACAGTTTCACGGGTGAATTTGTGAGAATTAAGATATTTGGTCCCCTTACTTTAATACTCAACACAATTTGTATCTTATGGATTCCATTTTCTCTACATTTTCTAACTGTACATCTCCAGATCAGACGTCAAACATACCTTTGTTTGCAAAGAAATGCATCAGTATAGTCGACAACATAGCCAATGCAGATAGCATCATGGCTACACAGTACGTCGTTTTCCTTCCAATTCTATTGATGATCAGCAATGCGAAGGCGGATATAAAATCGATAAGAGCCAAAACGAAAGCATTGATAAAGATGTCACCGTCTAAGGAACCTTGATTCAACGTGAGGCCGTACCATGACACACCAACTGTTAGCCTAAAAGAGAACATGCAATAGGAACGAAGTAAACGCTATACATTGCTTGTCCACGGTAAGTTTAATAATCGTTAAAACGAAGCTTAAGTTGGTTAAACATTTTAGGGAGATTTAATAGCTGTAATGTTTTTCATCGTGGTTTGTTATTAGCCTATATCATGGACACTATGTTTGTTTATTTCAAAGTTATTTATTTGACCTTGTTTTTCTTATACAGCTACACGCTACCCGTGCCCTGGGATAGGTTTGACAACTTAAAGCTCTAATGCACGAATGTTGTTAATTTAATAGAGCCATTGCACGCCATGAAGATGACGTAAAAGAGTTCACATTGGATAGCTACGTGAGAAGTCACAGTGAGGAGATAGGAACGGGCCATAGGGAGCATGGGCTTGTAAATACTCTAAAACCCTCTAAAAACCATATCATCTGACTCAACACCAACGGCACAAACTTGAAAATAAGGTTTAATGAACAGTGAAAATTATATATGATTGAATTTCATGAAGATATAAATATGTCAAACGAATTATTGACGATAACACCACAAACTAGCAACGTAGGCCTACCAGCCAAATGATATAACCACCGTCCTCGCGATAAGTCTTGGTGCGTTACGGAGTTGTCGAGGACTAATAGTTGGTGTGCTTCGCAAAGAATGATCGTCAAACAGCCATCCCTCGGGCAGCGAGGTATTATTTACTTTAGCCACCCATCGCATCACGCTTTCGGCTTCCGCGTATTTACCCCTTGAGATGAGCCAGCGAGGGGATTCCGGGGTTATCCTGTAAAAAAATTAATTATATATATATATATATATATATATATATTTATATATATATATATATATATATATATATTGAATATCTGTCTCTCGCTGTATGTTTGTATGTTTTAATGTCCAGGGGCGAAACCAGGATGCGAAGCCGCCCCCCCCCCCCTTTGGCGTTGGGTTTCGGGCCCACTGAAGGGCCCCTAAAACTTTTGGTATTTTACAGGGCTAACGGTGCCATTTGGTATGGTTTAGAACTATGATTTAGCTAGTCAAAATTCTAATTTCAAGAGGGGACCATTGGTGTTTTTTTCTTTTTTTTTTTTTAGAAATCGATGGGTTTTTCTGAGAGAGAGAGAGAGAGAGAGAGAGAGAGAGAGAGAGACTTTCCTCTGCTTGCCGAATATTTAAGAATTCTTAGTAAATTACATATACACTGTAAAGGAAGACCTACCACCAGAATAGTAGGTAAAGAACTGATGGCAAGGCAACAGCTAACTGCAAATATCTCCAGTCCCGTATAAGATAAGCTTCCAGAGTTCCCAGGAGAATACCTGTCCCCCATGAAAAAGCTGCCGTGCATAGGGATATTATACGTTTTCTTGGCGACACAAACTCCATACCTGCGAATAAGGAAAATATTTGATTAAATATCATTTTATGTAATAAAAAAGTCCTAGTCAATAGTAAAAAATCAGCCAGTTTTAGGACAAATGTGCTTTAACTAATATCTGTCGTAAATTGGACGTCGACGAGATTTTGCAGATGGCTCTGCTTTGGTAGACGTTTTTCTCGGTCAAACAAGCTTTTAGAGATGCGTGTGAAAAATTTGCCACTTTCTTCTTACTTAAGTTACACGCATAATTTATGTTTTCAAAAATATGCATAGATAAACTGATTGATCCACAGTAGTATGTGTGTGTGTGTGTGTGTGTGTGTGTGTTCGGAGGAGGGTGCGATTAAAGCCCAACTCTTTCCCAACTGAAAATGGCGGATCTGCTCTGCCCTCCACCATGACACAACTTGAGTCTCACTGATTCATGTTTTACATGATTAACTTCAAAATGGCCCATGTTGAACCATTGAGCATTTAATTCTTTGGCAAGTTTTATTAGAAAATGACTCCCAACTGAGGTTGCCAAGATGCGGGAAAAAAGAGCAGACTCAAAGGAGACTACAGGTAACATATTCCAAAAGTTCCACCGGGAAGTCGCGCGTTAACCAATGTCTGCCTTTACTGGTTGTTATCAACAATGATAACATCGAATGAAACGCCAAAATTAAAAAAAAACACCGACTGGCACAACATTGCACCTTTGTTAACCACAAAAGGGATATGACCAGTACGGAATTAGCGGAGGTGTTTCGAACAATAACTTACAAAGGACAATGACAGTATTGTTCAAGACGCCGTGGCAGATGCCAACAAAGCACCGGAATGCGACATAAGCCCCGTAGTTAGGTGAAAATGCAGCCCCTATCCCTGCTATCCCGTGGATAAAGCAGGCGATAAATGAAACCAACTTACGACCAGTGCTGAAAAAAAATTAGCTAAAATTTTACAGAGAAATCGCATTTAAACCCCCCAAAAACTTAATCTAGGTAAAGCTATGTTTAGCCATACAAAGACAATCAGTAATTTAATGTAAGTAAGTCAGCGGAAGAAATGCATAACATAGATCATAGCAAGAACAATTTAAGTCTTCAGGGTAGCTTGCCTATATCCTTTGTATCCACTGAAATCACATAGGCGCTAAAATAATATACAGACTTCGAGAACAGTCTGATAAAATAATTTTGTCACAGATTACCAGCGGGCCCTGTGGCGAATTTTAATAATTTCTTTTGAAACAACAGATATATTTATTTCGTGTTGTTGCAAAAACATGCGTGTGTGGAACATATTACTAGTTTAGATTTTAAATGACGTCTACAGACCGATATTTTTACAAGCGACACGCCCTTACTAGTCTGCTACCAGGCCCCCGCCAGCTGCCCCCACAGCCACTCCTACCAGATAGACCACGTTCGCCATGTTAATAAGCAAGGAACTGTCACAAAGTAGATCAAACTGAAATAAAAATGTTTAAATCATTCTATGCATCTATAGTCTCCAGAGAAGCTTCGGAATAATAAAAGAGAACAACACAATAGGCTTATTATACTTGCAAAAGGACTTTAATTTAAAATAGGCGTGCGGATTTGTGAGGGTTTGTTATAATAAATCATAAAGATAAAGAAGAAATATAGCACAGATTATGCTGTAAGAAAGCCAGACTTGTATCCATGTCGAAATTAAAGCGCTACGGATGACAAACTGCCTCAATAAGTAAAATATCAATATCACATTGTACAAAGACTCACTTCCGTAGGAAACGTTCTCGGGAATACAGATGTATCATAAACCCAGTCTTTGCACGGCCACACACTTTCATTTTTGGAGTAATTTCCACTACGCCACAGACATCCCTCATACTCCCCATTCTCGTCTACAGGAATGGTTTGGTTGATAAGACATTGGTGCCAGGGACTCTGGATTTCGAAGGTGTCATTTACCAGGCCTGGAATGGCACACCTGAAACATAAATCAGTTAAAATTTCGACAAGCGCCATATATAAACGATAAAATATTCATCTTAATGAATTTGAACTTGAATTTCAAACGGCACGAATGCCTATAATTAAATCAGCTTGGCACTGCGTACTAATCTAAGAAAGAAACTGATTTGCCTTTCGCACTTTTCAAAATGTTTGCTGGCTATTGAAAATAATAAATGAATACACAGATAACATAAAAAGGGTTTCATATTTTGCTTTAAAACTTGCAGGACTGATTTATAGGATCAATATATAGGTCAAGTTCGAAAATTATCTTGATCGGTTTAGTTTTGATGAATTTACTTGAGACGATTCATAGGACTAAAATGCAGCTTGAGTTGGAAAACAAGTCTGATTGTATTCTCTTCTGAAAGCAATATATATTAATGCAGTTCTTTATGAAATTTTCATTTACTACATATTGGCATTTTCAATGTGGGACTTAGAATTCCCACGGGCATAAAGCTGAATGGTAATCAAATTTTCAAGATGTCCATGTGATGTATAGTAGATAATTAATGATTGGTGGTGGTTGTGCTATTAATCATTGTGTAATATCACAAACGTTATGGAAAGAAAGTTTATTACTTTGTAACTTTTAAGAATGATTCTTAGGATAGGCATATAGCTCAAATTGGCCACCAGTTTGATTGAATTGCCATATTTCATGAATTTAGCAATTTTTTGAGAAATTTTCATTTTTCTCAGTTTGGCATTTTCACAATGTGAAGTAGACCTTTAAAGGACCCAAAGCCTTATGCTAGTTACACATTTCACTTACATCCGTATTGTTGGGCATATTTAAAATTAGGTAATGATTTTGCTGTTAAGCATAATGTATTATTGAGTCGGAATTGACAGTAGCCTATTTTTGCATCATTATTTTATGCTTTATGTCTGTACATTTGACAGTGTTGCTGCCTTGTTTTCTGATATACCTCAAAGCTGCCTCAGTGGAACAGTGTGTGAGCATTCCTATATTTCTGATATACATCAAAACTGCCTCGATGGTATACAGTTGAAGTATTCTACAGACTTGACATTTAATATGGAATATTTTTTTCGAAATCATTTTTCATCAGTTTTTTCCTATTTTACTGACTGATAAATGAAAATAAGGATTAAAATCATGTTTTAATAACTTTTAATTATCTCTTTGATGTCATTGTGACATCAGTTTATTGATGGAATTCGCCAGAGAAGCAAACAAAAACACATTGCCTATTCTATGTTATACGACAACCATAAATAGAGATATTTTGGATCTTCAAATTTTCCAAATTATTGTCTGTAAAAGAGTTACACGCTCCACAAAGGACCCTCATGTCAGTGTCTAGTCACAGTAACGGTTGCTGTTACGCCTGACCTCTTCTGGCTGCTACCAGCGTTCTCAAGTGGCAAAGCATTCCTTGGGTTATGTTTTTAGAGTTCAATCTGGAATAACATTCCAGGCATCGGTCAAAATCTGTCCAATTAGGTCCAGTTTTGTTGTAGGACATGTAGGCCATTGATTCGGCGAGTAATGGCCTACCCACATATTGTCTATGTGGTTCAAATATGGCGATTTTGATTACCAAGGTAGCTGCTGATTCCCTTGCTTCTGTAAGTAATCTGCTATTAAAAGTGCTGTGTGTTAACCGGCAATCTCATCGTGCAACCTAAAATCGTTCCTAAGTTCCCCCCTATCAAATGATAGTCAAGTGGTTCCCAGATTATTCCTTTATTTGATCTGGTTCAGGTTTTGGTCGATGACTACCATTGGTGTTTTGGCACCAATATGGTATCCACCCCAAGTACTTACGCTGTTAATGGCCTTAGTCACTTTAGATGCGGCACACGCTCCGTCGTTGGCCTCTTCTGGATGTCTGTAAACTCTGTTTTGACTAATTGAGCGGTACAGGTGAAATCTGACCTCAATAAAGAAAGCCATGAGGTTTCAGTGTTCAACCCAGAAACGGTCAAGGTCCCCAATTCATTAGAGAAACATACAACGATGTTGTGCTGTTTACGGTGGGTTCTTCGGAGGACATCTGGTATTTTAACCTGCTAAAACCAGTTTGGTGTTCGTTAAGTGCCTTGAAAAATGCGTTTTGGTGGCAATTTACGCCTCGTTCTGAACGGACTGGGTGGTTTTTGTTTAGTTGCAACAGCATATCCCGAAAGACAGTGGGTCCTGTACCCTGGTGGTACGATTTCAGTATATTGGGTGTGGTCTCTGTGTAGGTACATCAGTCTGGGCAATACTCTATAAGACTGTGCGGACAGTTTCATTTGGCGCAATTATCTGGTTGGCAATGTTTGTCTTTTTTGCGCCATTCTGCCACCGATTAACAAATTTGTAAAGCACTGCATAGCTCATTTTACACACTGCAAAACCGACCACTTGCATGCCAAATTTCTAATTCTTCTATGCAGTAGTTGCCGACGTATGGATATTTATTTGACAGAACCATCCTTTGCCAAAGCCAAGCTTTGACCTGCCCAAAGGAGCACTACCCAATTAAATCACTGCATATTACATAATGCAGCAGCTCAACAAACCTGTTGTTCAGTTAATTGGTAGCGACACACCTGGCTACACACTTCTCCATTCATATATCTTATATAAGATGGGAGTTTTTTTGAAAAAAGAACGCATTTTTACCTAGGCATACCTTAGAAACTGAAATATTCCATATTAAATGTCAAGTCTGTATTTTAACAGTGATGCTTTCAATGCGAGCCAGAGCAGCGCAGCAGAGGCATAATGCTTTTTATTGTCTACCTCCCCGCAGTAACACGCGAACAAAACGTCGTGCATCGATATAGAAGCCTGGATCCCGTAACTCGAAAGCATCGCGCATTGCGACCGAGAGCAAGCGTCTCGATTCCATAACTCGCCCCATATAATACCCTCGAAATAAAAGGTGATATCCCTATCCGCAATTCGCGATGCTTTCGGGCCAGGTCAACAAGACGATATCTGGGTTTTTTACCCCCTTATTTCTATAAAATATCAATTTAGCTAATAAATAGCTTACGCATAAGAACTTATTATATCGTATGCTTTATAGCACAGGAAGTAAACTTCATGCTTCGAAATGAGAACCAGGTCAAAAGACGATATTTGGCGTTTTTTAGCCTCTAATTCCACAAAATATCAATGAAGCTAATGAATAGGCCGAGCTTGACAGTTTTTTATGATATGAGAATGTGCTTATTATTTAAGTATCCAATAATAACCAAGAAATATTTTAACTTTGCCGAAATGAGATCTTTATAACAAACTTAATTTTTTTTCAAGGCTATAAATCGTTTCCTGTAGACTAGTGTCATTGATTCGCTTTTGAGATATTAAATGTGTTGGTCGTATCGCGGAAGTTCAAGGTTTATATATTACACATGTATGTCGGTTTATTTCTCCCGTGGACATGTTTTTTATATGAATTACCTAAAATAAACTTTCCTACGTTTTCGCATGCATTTTGTGGTAACATTCGCAACAACAATAATGTTATAACAGTGTAAGATTGTTTACGGACTGAGATTAGCTATGTAACGAAATATTGAAAATGAATGCGTATACACATATACAGCCAGGAAGAAACACCTTGTAGGGTCCATGTTCCACCCTACCCAGGTTCTTCTAATATTTTACCTGTCACTGATGCATGGGAGAGGGAATATAACCACAGGACTCACATATTCAGTACCAAGTCTAAAAGTCCTTTATTAGGTCCAAACATTCATCCTTTATACCCATTATCTCCAGGGAATCTAACCGCATGCCACAGTGGCAGCAACTCATTTAAATACTAATTGCAATGCAAAAGATTACAAGTGAATGAAAGTTATATCAGTTCTACTTATCAGGTATACCTATACAGAGGATGATAAATATTCATTCAAGACTGAAGCAAGGTGAATGATAATATGCCAACTGGTTATATAAACATAATATGTAAATGAGTGAGTTCATCACATGCATTGAGTGGACCTTAACAACCTGCTGCACGTGTCTACTCCATGCACCGTGAGCAGTAAAGGCCCCTGTGATTACTTTACCTGTGTTCTGGTGTTTGTTGCATGAATACTGTCACGATCATTTGTAGGGCTACCGATGCTGTAGTGAGTCCAAAAAATATTGTCATTATTAACTGAATCCTCCCGAACTCCCCAACGTTTTTGACAACATAATCGAATTCCATCGTTGCTCGCTTGTTTGGAGAAAAATCATCTTGTGAGGGAAGTCGTGAATTGACATTCAATTTATGTATACAGAGTCACCCTTTGAACTACCACAGTTTTTCACGTAATATATGTTAAATGACTATAAAGCAGCATAACAGGTGGAGCTTGTCTTTCAGGCTGTCATGTACATTTGTTATGCTATCTTATGTTTTATTGACACGATATGTGTTCTAGTAGTACATGTTCTTAAAGTTTGTTTATAGCAAAACATATTATATTTTACTTCCCCGTGAAACTCACATTGATTGTACTGAGCATATGTTAATATTAAAAAAAATCTTTATCAAGATTTGTCCAAAACTGGGCGAAAAGAAGCCTACTGCATTACTAGTGTAGTTCAGGGCTCCGTATCTCGAAAGGTTCGCTATGTTGCGCACGTGCGTTAGTGTCTCGATTCCATGCCCCGTATCTCGAAATAGAATCGGTTATAAAATTGAGACACTAACGCACGTGCGCAACATAGCGAACCTTTCGAGATGCTGAGCCCAGTTCAACATACACAAGGAAGACTAATGTAACAGGATATTTCTAGACTGTTATTTCATGCTGTTGTCGATATGTCATCGTTAGCGATATGTAGCCTACTTGACATCGAATGTAAATTTGAATTCAAGTTTTGCTATCATGTTTTAGAAGGAAAGGAGGAAGTATTTACCAAAAATATAAGCCGTTACATTAAGGTTTTTAAATGATGGGATAAAAACAGTTTTTCAGACTTTATACGGGATTATACGTCTGACCCAGGGACTGAGACCTATGAATCTACGGAGAAGCTGATAAACGAAAACGGTTGCTTTTGTAGGTTTGTATTTTATATTATGCCAATTTTTTTGCATGGCACGAGAATTTGGGGTATTTAATTATACGATCTCTTATCTCAGCTATTTTGGACTCATTTTCACAGGTACAGTTGTATGCTACGATCGAACAACACTTCTACACTGACTTATTATTCTTTATTTGTACAACCGCAGCCAAAATGCAAGGCTGAGAGATAAAACTCAGTTAAAGTCCGTGTAATCTCATGAAGACTTGATTGCAATCTTTCTGCTATTTCTATCCAGCACAGTGCTCCATGGGGAGAATTTCGGTTTGTCCTCCAAAGCGGGTCCTAAACAAATTTTTGTTTATAAGGACCGACTAGAACATTCCATATATAAGAATAGTTTCAGTAGATTAAATATTATGCGTATATTCGATAAAAATGCAATTTGCTGTCTCACGAACAGGTGATCAAAGTTGTTCACTTTTAATTTGAACGCAAATGACCTGTCATTATATATACTATGTATCCATATGTGTGTGTGTGTGTGTGTGTGTGTGTGTGTGTATACGTGTGTGTGTGTGTGTGTGTGTGTGTGTGTGTTCCTGGAACACACATTTATACACAAAGGATGATAATTGATAATGCACGCGTACCTGAAATTTACAACTGCAATTAAAACAAATGCAAGTATGATATAGGCCCCCCAAGAAACAAAGACCCTTAATGCAAATCTCAATTTATCCACCATTAAACAAATTATGTAAATCGACAATAGAAATGTACCTGCAAACTGTGCGTTGCTCACTGGATGAATGATCTACAGTATTATTGCATTATTCATTACCCTCGTACTGTTCATACGAATAGCACTTGTTGCGCAATTTACACCGTCTCCTTGCTAGAAGCAAACAATAAATCTGGACGTCTTTTCCAGAATATCGTTTGTCGTTACAAGCGTGGAATCCCTCGTAAATTCCGAACACTGTTTCGTTTATTTTCAAATGAACTAAGACATGATTACCATGAAGTGGCGTAGCGTGTTTTCTGGGTCTATTCTACATGTATGTCTAGATTATGGTTGTCAGCTGAACCCATTACCTCACACCATTGGGATTCGTACCGATATATGCATGGCAAGATTTAGTTTTCCTTTTAGTTTCAGTTGTTTATAATAACTTGCTCCTCATTTGAGTTTTTGTCTTTCAGTGTTTTTTTTTTTTTTTTTTTTTTTTTTAGCGAATAGGTTTAAAGTCTTTGCTCGTAGAATCGTATCGCGTCGTAAAGGTGTAACTAAAATGTTCCTCTTGTGCTTCCCTGTACACTACTCCTCTACCGTTCGCATGCCTCTGGCGTTTCAAGAAACTTCAATAAAAGTAAGAGGCATGGTTACACAGTTAATATACAGTAGTATAGAGGCAATATTAAGGTGAAGTGATCCATGAGAATTTGAAGTTAAGTTTACACTTAAAAGTATAATTTTACATTAGTTAACCACCAACGCTTTCACTTATAAGTCTAGACCATGTGGACCTTGGCATAATTTAAGGAAGTCCTGATGTAAAACTAAATTAATGGTTTTGTAAATTGTCCGAGGTACACCATTGTAAAATGTTTTCGCCTTTCAAATCAGTTTCCAGTTGCCCCCCCCCCTCCCAATGCGCACTATCAGTTATATACATGTGGTATGTTTAGAAGCATGCATCGATCTCATTTGACCTCGCCGTTTTATCACTTTGTAAACTCTAAGCATATATAGATACAAGTCTGGCCCATAGGTAACAGAAGTACGACGAGGGTTTGGTAACTTGTGTTGTGTAGGGGAGACATCTGAATATTGATACGAGTTCTGTGTCATGCTGCATTTGATTGAAAATCCTTTTTTCTTCTAGGAAAAATGGTCAGAATCCAAGTGCCTATGATATCAATCACACCAGTAAAGTGGCACAGTTTCGATTAAGCATTTTTTCATTGATTGTAAAACTTGATAAAAAACGTGTAATTCTTCTTTCTCAGGGTATCAGTCCCTTCATACGCAGGCCCGTAGCCGGGGGGGGGGGGGGGGGGGGGGGGGAAAGGCCCCCCCCCT